AAATCTCAATCCCTGAAGATGTTACATCCCCTAAAATGTAATGGATTATTTTCCTCATAAAATGACAAGATTATCAACATTTTCCGTCCTAAAGCCCCTACCCAGGTATGCAGCATCTGCCATGCATGCCGTCAGTTCTTAAACGGCTGTCTTGAAGTGAATTGCTTTGTACAATTTCTGTTCCGTGGAAGACTGCAGACTTCTTCCCTCTTCCAACCAGTAACACTGCCATGCCATTGTGCTTTGGAGCCCCTGCCAGCCCAGAGCCTGCCCTTTTGAGACACAGAGCATCTTGGCCCAATATCTCCGTAGGCTGCAAATAGGTGTCATGTTTGTCCGAGGAGGAAGCGTTTTGTCCTGTGACTCTTCAGATGTTCAGTCCTGCCAGAGTATGTGAGCTAAAAGGTGCTATTGCGTTTTCCTGGGATGTCCCAGTATGCATCTACAAGGTTATCCCAGGTCATTCTCTAATGAGCTGGCCAGGATGTGATCTCTCTCACCAGACAATTACTGGTGGAGGAGCATCAATGCAGTTTGAAAGGGCTATATGTCTAATAGCTCTGCCCCACCTGTTTTGATCCAGGTCATAACCCAGGACAATCAGGACAGAGTCAAATGCAATGTCTGTTCATAGCCTTACATTCCTCCCTGAGCCAGTCAGTTCCTGACTGATTCCTGTTTTTAATCTTTTTCAAAACTTATATTGTTCTATGTCATCCTCAGACTTCAGTTGCTTCACCTGTACCTGCTACCCAATCAGACAGCCATACTATTCCCTACAGATCCCTTGTTCAAGACCTATACATGTTTTTCCACTATGTTACCTAGCCTCCAGGTCACACTTTTATCTTCTGTGTGAGCTTCATCTCCTGCTGTGAACATCTGTTTTGCCTCATTCTATCAGGGCCAGGATGCCTTGAACAATTGGTAAATGCCTATTAATGGTGTGTGAAAACTGCTTTTTTTTTTTTACACCAAAGGGTGTTAGCTTATTTAATTAGTGAACAGAAAATATGCTTCAACAGTAAAACTAAAATGCATTGTGACTCACTACAGGGAGCTGAAGACAAGACTCGCTAAAGTGCGTGTTACCAAAAAAACAAACAACCCCTGACCAAAAAGAAACCAGCCATGCAGCAGCCTTATTTTAGACCAGTATTTAGCTTGCATTGAAGTCCATGAAGAGACTCTGATTGACTTTAAGGGCCTGATCCAACTCCTAATTATAATATGGTAACCTGAGAGAGTTAGGTACACCATTTTGGAAACTGAAGCTGCCTAAGGGATTTAGGCACTGTGGCCAGGTCCAAATTGTTCTTGCAAGTTTCTAAATGAGGCTTAGGTGCCGAAATTTTGTGTAAGTCATGTAAACAAGGAATCCAGAACAGACTTACTCCAGGGAGCGAACCCCCCCTTCCCCCCCATTTTGGCTTGATCTGTTAATTAGGTGCCTAAACTTTGGTTTCTGAGAGTGCTCAGGCCATTCTGATCAAGCACCTACATTTTGTAATTCCTGCCTAAGCAGCACAAAAATCTAGATAAGTGCTGGGAGTTTGCAAATGGTCCTCGATCAGTAAGGTGCTTGCAGAGTATTCCCAATGCTTGATTGTCACTGCTTGAAGGCACTTGAGTCTCTGCAGATCTTGGATACCTAGCTCAGTTGGTATGAACATTTTTCAGGTAATCCCAGGAAGCTGGAGATCTCATCCCTTTGCATAAATTGAGTTCTTCATAAATTTAGTCCTGCCAGATCTGCTTTCCACACAGCAAGCAGCAATGGCCTATCTGAGTGTCGGAGGAGTACTGAAGGGTACTGTAGGAACAGGTAGCAGGTGTTAGTGCTCAGGAAGTGCCATGTCTGGTGTCAATAAGGAGCCATTTTTCTAGACCGAAGCCATTTAGATTACATATGTAGAGTGAAGACTGAGGGTATGTCTATGTTGTGGAAAGAGTTCATTTTCATGTGTGCTTGAGAAAAGAGATCCCAGTGGCCCCCTGGTGTGCTTCTGCATTTGGAGTGTGCCAGTTGTGTGGTTGGGCTTGGGGTCTCCCTACCGCAACATTTTGTTCCTGTTTTATTTCAACATAGAGATAGTTTGTACAATTGTGGGGTAAAAAATAAAATATACTGAGGGGTATATGACCATCAGTGAGCAGTGCTCTTTAGCGGAATATAATACTCTGGTAATATTAGGTGAAAATATATTTGTGAATCTTGTTGCTAATGACATTAAAAATATGGAACTGGATTTGTAAAGGTATGCGCCGTCCTTTATAGATTCCTTTAAAGGAATGAGTCCTTTAAAGGTATGAGTTGTCCTTTTAAAGAGTGCAGTGTATATAATCAGCTTTACAGAGAAAAAGAAAATTTTGGATAGAAAAGACTAGCTATGGCATAGAAATGTCACACAACTAGCTGATGTTTTAGGCCTCCTTTGCTTTTGTGTCAAAAGCTGGAATTGAAGAGGTTTTTTGGATCACTGAGATTCAATGGCTGCTTCAATGAAGGCTTTAGTTGACAGCTTTTGAAAAGTCACTGATAGGAATGTTATCAGATTTGGATAAGCTCAAACCAAGTTTGTATAGCTGTCACTAGGCAAAAGTGTCAGTGTACTATTATCTAGTCCCTGTAAACAGACCCTTTCCTATTCTTCAAGTGAAAAATTAAAAGTACAGATTTGAGTTTGAAAGGTACCAGAAGGATCATACAATTTGGCATTAACCTAATGTACTAATGTTTGTGGTCAGGGGAGAGTTTGCAGTGTAAATGATAGGCTAGTTGTGCCCATCTCATGGGAGAGGGAAAGATTTTGGAAGATAGTGAGATTGGACAGAGTGTGGTAATTGCCACAGTCCAGCAGACTCGATTAATCGAGCAGATTAATTGAGTCTGCTCCAGGGCACTGGAATTCCAGCTTGTCGGAACAGTCTCCGCTCTCATGTATAGGCGGTCAGTGGCTTCTGTAGATTGCATTTCTCATGTTTCTCAGGGAGGGAATATTATGGATGAGAAAGGGGAAATTGTTCTGAAAACATACAGGCCTTGGAGGTACCTGAGCAACTGGGTAATCCCTGAGGAGGACAAACCCCACCATGTTTGTTCCTGTGCGCTCAGCCTGCTATTGGCTCTAATCCCTCCGGAGATGTTTCCCCAGGGACCCTGCATACAATGTGATAAGTAATGAGCAGAGATATGTTTGGAAAAGCAGAGGTGGGGACAATCAACGTTTTTTATTTTATCCATCATAAAGAAGCAACATGAATGATTTACATTGTAAGTTTGAAGACTAATTTACCTGCTATTTTCCCTTGAAATGGTTTGAATAGCATTGTTGTTCTTATACTTTACATTTTTTGTAATGATTCTGATAAACTGTTTTAGTGAAGATGCAAAATAATCATAAATTATTGTTAGGTACTAAAATGGTAAAAGGAGGTGTAGGGTGTGTATATATTGTAGTTAGACATTTCAGTTTGTTGGTTTGGGCAACCATATAGTTAAGTGATAATGCTCTTGGAGATTGAGTCTATCAAGCAATAAGTGGCTTTTATACTTGATTAAATGCTGAAGTACTGATGGAGCATTTGATAAACTACAAAAGCCATCTCAAGCACTGGGTAGATTATTATATGACGTGATGAAAGATACAAATGTTCAGTATTTTGCAAGGGAAGATGAGAATGGAACTAACATTTTGTGGAAATAGTTACAAGGCAGGCCTAAAACACGATTTTTCTTAGTTTCATAGTTTCTAGGGTCGAAAGGCACCTGAGCAGATCATCTAGTCCGACCCCCTGCCATGGCAGGAAAGAGTACTGGGGTCAAACGACCCCAGCAAGGGGTTCATCTAACCTCCTCTTAAAAACCCCCAGGGTAGGAGCCTGCACCACCTCCCTTGGAAGTTGGTTCCAGACCCT